CTTGTTTTTTTAATTTTTATCTCTTTTATCTTTTTCTCTTCTCAACTTCGTCTCTTTACTCGTCTCTCATCGTTCTTTCTTTCTTTTCATTTCTTCTCTTCTCGTCTCATCTGCTGCTTTCTTCTCTTCTTGCTTCTTCTTCTAACCTCCGTCCTTTAATCTCCTTTTTAATCTCATATTTTTCGTCTCGTCTTTCTCATTTTCTCACCTCTCCTACTTTTCTTCTCTTTTACATCTCTTCTTCCTATTTCTTTTTATGTCTTCTCATCTTGTTTCATCTCCTTTTTCCCGTTTGCTCCTCATCTTCATTTCTTCTTCCTTTTCTCTCCTCTCGTCTTCTATCTTCTCATCTTCTACCTTCCTCCTCCTTCTTCCGTCTCTTCTTTCTCGTCTTATTTCTTTTTCCCTCTTTTCTTATCTTCTCATCTCTTCCTTTTCATCCCTTTTCTACTCTTCTTACATCTTTCCCCTCATCTCCATCCTTTTCTTCTCCCTCTTACTTCCTCCATCTTTTTTCCTCGTCTCCTCTGCTGCCTCCTTTCTTCCTCCCTCCTCTCTCACATCTCCTCCTCCTCCATTCTCCTCCGTCCTCCTCCTCCGTCCTCCTCCTCCGTCCTCCCTCCATGCAGGGCTGCTCGTCTCCCATCGTGGTGAAGTTCGCCGACACGCAGAAGGACAAGGAGCAGCGGCGTCTGCAGCAGCAGCTGGCGCAGCAGATGCAGCAGCTGAACAGCGCCACCACCTGGGGGAGTCTGACGGGGCTGGGCGGCCTCACCCCTCAGTATCTGGCTGTAAGGAGCGCCGCCTCCATCACCTCCTCCTCCTCCTCCTCCTCCTCCTCCATCACCCCTTACTGCAGCCCCGTGGCCGGCGCCGCTGCAGTCAGTGCCCCAACCGAGAACATTAAAAAAACAACCCACACCTCTTCCTCCCCGTCTGTCCTCCTGTTTCTCTTTATTTCGTTCTGTAATTCCTCCCCCCTCCTCTCCATCCTCACCCCCTGGGAGCGCCGGTGAGGAAATGAGGTCTCTGAATTGGATTTAAGGCTCCCCGGCGGTGACGTTTTATGTCTCCGAAAACTTCACAGCAGATCAAACAGGAAGCGTTCCGACGGTGTTTTACTGCCAAAAAATAAATAAATATCATCGCCGTCTTTCTAATGAAGTCCTCGACGAGTTTAGGAGGCTGCGTTTGAAAAAAACAGAAAACATCTACAAGATTAGAAATTAATTGCAAAAAAAAATAATGTTTTGTGGTTTCTGTGCAAACATGAAGCTGCAAATAGACTTCAGGAGAATCACGATGAGTCCAGATGATGTTGTTCAATCGATGCAGCTGCAAAGTCTAGACTTATTACCTGCATTTAATGCGTTTTTCTAGTTTCTATGACCTAAAACATGATCATAGTCGTGTTTATGCAGCTCAAAGCATTAAGACGGAAGATTCAGAGTCGTTCCTTTAACTTTAACTAAAGCCGTTTTGCAGCATAAATCTGATAAAATGATTAAAACTTGAAGAAATGCTGCGATTTTGGTGCAACATAAGAATGCAGCGCCTTATATTTGCACAAAAAAAGTATTAAATGAACATATTTGAAGCCTTAATTACTTGTCCTGCATAAATTATTAAAGCAAAACTGTTTCAATTCGAAAATACAAACTGTATATTAAACCAAAGCCAAAAAAATTAAATAAAAAATGCGCAAAATACAAATTATTTGCCAAAAAAGATGTTTTTTGTAGTTTATGTGCACAAAAAAAGCATTAAATTAACATATTTTATGCCTTAATTTCTTGTCCTGCACAAAATATTAAAGCAAAACTGTTTGAATTTGAAAATACAGGCTTGTTTTACTCTCTACAAACTGTATTATCTGTAATTTTACTAAATTTTCGCTGCTTCTTGTGAAATTAAACCAAAAAACGAAATAAAAAATGTGCAGGATACAAATTAATTTCAAAGAACAGATGTTTTTTCTAGTTTATGTGCACAAATGAAGCTACAAATATGATTTTAAATTGTTTTTTAATCGATGCATCTGCAAAATCTGAAAGTATTACCTGCATTTAGTGCGTTTTTCCAACATCCATCACATAAAACATGATTATAGTCGTCAGGAAGGAAGATTCAGAGTCTTTCCTTAATATTAACTAAAGTAGTTTTGCAGCATAAATCTCATAAATTGATTAAAATTTGGAAAAATGCTGCAATTTCGGTGCAAGTTTTCACCATTAACACGTATTTGTTGCACTAATTAATCGTCTTTAACAGAGTATTGAGGATGATCTCTGAGCTACGGGCTTGTTTCACTCGGTTCAGACTGTATTTTCTGCTTTGCGGTAACTTCTCGGTGCTTTTTTTTTGTGGAATTAAACCAAAACCAGAAACCCGGCGCGGAGCCCCCGGGAATCCGCTGATCCCCAATTTGGGAAGCGGGCTCGGCTGCACAGCATCTGAGGCTCTCGCCGGTTGATTTGTTTGATTGGAAAGTTACCGGCTTCCTCGGTTTTCGCACGAAGGTTCAGACACCTCATTGTCTCTTTCGGCTCTCGTCGTCTCCCCTTCCGGAAAGTTTTCACCGCTAACTTTTTTTTTTTTCACCCCTCCCTCCTCAATTAACAACCCAAACTTCCTACAACACACTCACACCTCGGACGTCTGGTTCTGGTCGATTTGTTGAATCCGAGATGCAATTTGCACCTTTTTTTTTAAATTTATTTACAGGAGGGTTAAAAAAAAAAGTGTGAATTGGGCTCCCAGATTTTTTTTTTTTCTGCTCTTTGAATCCTCTTTGGAGAAGATTAAGCTCTATGCTAGTGAAGAAGAAGAAGAAAATCACACAATAGAAACAAGATGTTAATTTGCTGTTAATTCGAGCCTCTGAAGGATGAGTTTTTGACAGCATCAGTATTCCACTTTTGTTTTGGAATCTAATTAGTCGGCTAGATTGGAGCTTTCATGCTCAACTTGTCTGGGAGACTCGTGGCGGAATGCAAACGGCGGCATTTGCTTGGAGGAGAGATCAAACTGTATTAGCGGCTCATTTACTCATCGAGCGCTGATGCAAAAAAAAAAAAAAAAAAACTCCACGTCGCTGAAAACCCGCTCATTACCAGTTTAGCTCCTCAGCGTAGCATGCTATGGACTCGCTCCGGCTGTGCACTCGGCTCACTCTTGTTTTTCTCTTCTTTCTTTCCCCGCCTCGTCTCTCTTCCTCTTTTAGTTGCTTCAGCAGGCGACCTCCTCCGGTAACCTGGGAGCCTTCAGCGGGATCCAGCAGATGGCCGGTGAGTCAAAACTCGGTTGATCAGACTCCCTCCCTCCCCCTGAAACCGCGACGATCTACCGCCGCGGCAGCCGACTCTTTGTTGCGCCTCTCTGTTGTGTTTTTTTTCTTTTCTTTTCTTTTCTTTTAACAGACTTCTAAAAGAGGACCAAAGAGCATAACAGATGAACTCGCGTGGTGGAGTAAAAGAGAGAGATCTTTGCCCCGAAGATTTATTAACCGTTGCTAAGATTCGTCTTGATCTTTTAATGAGGCCAGACAAGAGCGCTGCCCTGGGCGTGTAACAGTAGCACCGAGGCTTTGTCAGGGATGGATGAATCACAGGGAAGAGAAGAGGAAAAAGAAAAAAAGAAAGAAAGGGTAGCGCAGAGAAACGGTGGAAAAGTGGGCTCCGATCGGTGGGAGTGTTTGCGGCATGGCGCCATCTACTGGTCCGTCGTCGTTCTGTTTCAGAGCGTCTTCTCGTTTAACCCTCTGAACCCCGGGCGGTTGTTTTTAGACTCATTTTTCACTGCATTACAAAATCCTGCACCTCCATGGAAACAGCACGACTAGAGCTAGAAGCAGAGACAACTGACAATATCTTTTCATGCAGAATAATCAAGTTAAAAAGTCATAAATGTTAAAAAGCAAAAAAACGGAATTTAAATTTCTGTGATTATTTATTTTACAAAAACCTTGAATCAACATGTAAAACATTCCTGAAGTGCCCACAGACGTTACCAACACTGGAAATAAACACAGCGGCTCTACATGTCGGAGATAATTTTTCTATTTTACATTTTTAATTCCTGATTTTTCCTGATTGGGCATCAATAAAGAATTATCTAAATTCGTCTCCTAGCCTGCAGTGCAACCAAAACTCCCTGAATTTTTGCTACCTGACTGTTCATCACAGCTGAGTCGTTCATGGCTTCACAGTTGCTTCAAGGTGCACAGAATTTTTTGTTTTTTACGGAATCCATTTAGAGGAAACCGTTGATTTTTGGGCGAATTTTCAAATGAGACCTGCAGAATAAAAAAGATTTTCAGCCCGAAAATAGTGCAAATGGTTTATTTTTGCCTTTTTTTTAGCTGTTGCATAAAGAATGGAGTTATTTTGATGTAATTAGTGCTTGAAGTGTCTTAAATTTCAGCTCCAAATCTGACAAATCTCTCAGTTTTTTGAGATTCATCTTTAAAATATTTTAAATATTATGATTTAAATTCATTTCCGAACAAAACGACGCATCACGGATGATGCAAAAGTTAAAAATCGTACATTTTTTTTCTGTTTTTGCAGTTTCTAGCTTTGATAAATCCTCTAACTTAATGATTTTTTTGTGTTTTAAGGTTCAGAGGGTTAAAGCTTTAAACACTCGGCAGCCAATTTTGTTTTCTTTTGAAGTTTCCGAGCTCTAAACGGGCTGAATAAGGACAGGAGGAAGTGAAGTGACGCGGGACGCTAATTCTCCAAAGTGGAGCCGGCGCTGCAATAAAAGATGCATATTGTATTAACCCAGTTCTGTATTAATCTGAGCCCAGAGCGCGCTCAGAAGCTCCGCTATTAAATGTTGAACAAGATAAAATCTCCGTCTTTAAGAAGTATAATTTTTTTTGAGGGGGGGCTTTAAACTCATCACCTCCCACTTCTTCTTCTTCTTCTCTCTTTCCATTAAACTCTTTTTTTTTTGTATTTATTTTAAGCCTCTTTTTTTTTTTTTTTTAGTGCAGACACTCTTGCGCCTCTTCGTCTCACCTTTGCAGCACTTTCCAGCGTCGCCTCGTTTCGCTTTCCGAAGGCTTCGAGCCCCATCTTGTGTCCCTCCGTCGCACTTCGGCTGCTTTTATTTTTTTCTAAACACACATTTTCCTTACAAACCCGACAAATCGGCTGTGGGATTTGGAAGCGAGGGCGGGCGGCGGCGGCGTCTGAATCTGGAGGTCTGTTGGTCCTCCATCTGCGTTGAGAGCGTTGGTGATTGGCAGGAGATGCGAGGCAGCTGAATGACATCTGGTCCCGGTCTTTAACACGACGAGCCGCCGAGCTGAGAGGCTTCAATTACACCAATGAGCGTTCAATTAGATGCAGCCAGCGCCAGCCCGGTGCGGCCCGGCGCTGCCATGCCGGCTGCACACGCATGCATTCCTCGTGCACACATATGCACGCCGCCATCTGCGCTGCCCGGATGCTCTGACGTGGTGTTGGTCTCTTTCCTAGCGCTGCTCGGCTTTGTCTCCGCTTTATTCCGCTCTAACCCGGTTATTTTTATCTCCTGCCGACTCCCTTCTTTTTTTTTTTTTCTCGTCCTTATAACTGTCTTGAAAATGTTTGTCCAACGAGGAGGAGATGGTCTCTGACAAGGAAGGATTGGTGGAGCTGCTTTGAGAGGAGGGAAAGAAAGGAAGAGGTTGCACGGAGAGACGAAGAAGAAGAAGAAGAAGAAATATGTAGAAGCAGAAGGAAAATAGATGAAGGAGGAATGGTTAGAGAAAGAAAGAGGCGATCTAAGGTCGAGCAAAGTGGGATAGAAGAGGAGTAAATAAAGCTCCTTTCAGACCTGCTCTCCTCCGGGTTCATCTGAAGACGTCGTGTCCTCAACTCGGACCTTTAAGCAACATTTCAGCACAAGTCTGCAGCTGCTGGATGAAGCGAGGCCGTTTTTTTTTCCTCCAGCTCCATTATTGGTCCAGACAGTAGAAGACAGAGTTTGAGAATCATGAAGCGTCTTTCTTGTTCACTTGGAAGTAAAACCTGAAGACGAGGAGTGATGCAGCTTAAATATAATCCACTTAACAACAGGTAAAGTTCACCTGGAACTATTTCCTCTGAGTTTATTGAACATCTGCAGCATCAAACAGCAGCAGGATCCAAATGAGTCCGACTTCTTTCTGCAACCAGAGGAGTTGCCCCCTGCTGGCTTTTAGAGAGAACGTAGGTTTAAGGCCTGTCGCTGAAATGTCAAATAGAAATAACAGATCAAGCTCATGAGACTCATCATGAATAAATTTTATTGGGAAACTTAGCTCGTTGCTCCCGGATGTTTAGGACTATTTCCTCTGAGTTCATTGACGACATGCAGCATCAAACAGCATCATGAGTCTGACTGCTTTCAGGAGTCGCCCCCTGCTGGTGGATGCAGGTTTAATTGGCCTCAAGATGAACTGTCCTTAAAAGTAAAACTTTACCGTGAAGAGTCTGCAACAGGTCAGAATAAAGACACTCAGCAATAATAAATGGAAGCCAGGAGCTGAAGTTTGTTGCTTCCAGCTGTTCAAGACGATTTCCTCTGAGTTTATTAAACATCTGCTGCATCAGACATACGTCAGGTTGTGTGAAACCGTTTGACGACGGCTTTTTTTTCTTCTTTTTTTGGCACCAATATTGGTCCACAAGCATCACAGACAGCATTCACTCTGCTCCACAGTTTAACATCTATTACAATTATTATATAAATGTCCAAAAATTTTCATCCAGGGTTTGAGTTGTTCTCGTAGTTTACTCGTAAGCGACTGGACTTGCTTGAGTTTCTTGGATTTACTGCAGCGAAGACAGAGTCTGTAACTTAGCTAGCTTAATTTTGCCGAACAGCAGCTTAAGTTCAGTTCATCCTAAACATCTGGGAGCGACGATTTCCTCTGAGTTTATTAAATATCTGCTGCATCGAACAACATATAAAAGCTTTCAAATACAAACTGCATTTACGCTCCTGAAACGACACTTTTAACTTCATTAATCAGTAAAATGATTATAAATTATCCCCAACACATCGGACACGGAGTCACAGTTTATCAGCTGCAGGTGAATAATTTGTTTGGTGACGTCTGTCTTCAAGTTGGAGCTTTTTATGGTCAAGTAGTTGTTAGATTATCATCACACATGGACCAAAATTTTAGATTTAATAATTTATTCGTTAGCGTATCCCACGTGGGTGACAAATATTGAGCCTGTTTCTGCTAAATGTTACGTATCACATGTCTGAAAAGGACTAAAGAGGGGTAAAAGAAAAAGAGGAATGTATATGGAAACAAAAAAGAGGAACGAAAGTGAAAGAAAAGGAGGAAGAGCAGCGAGGGTTAACGCTCGTGAAACCGAACGGATAAAGGAAGCAGCCAAAGAGGCAAAGAGCAGCAACACAACGACCGTTTGTTTGCATCATGAACACATCAGAGTGGACTCATGCCTTAAAATGGGCCTCCTGTCTGATCAACCGTCTCCATAGAGCTAAACGAGGCCTGCAAGATAAATTTAACAAACCGTCTTTAGGTTATAATAATAATAAAGTTCTTCTCTCTGTGCAGCCCGCAGCAGCGACGCCGCCGGTCGCGTCTCACAGAAACAAAAACTAAACCAGAGTGTGAATTAGTGCAGGAGGGGTTTGTGTGATAGAAAGAGTGACGGCTGTTTTATTCCCACCTTGCGTGGAAACAGAAATCCATTTCGTCTTTTGATGTATCACAGAAAATTGGAGAAAATCGCTTTTGAAAAACAAGATTGGTTTCGGCTGCGGCGCGCCGCTCGTGAGTTTAAAACAGAAATCGAGGAGTCACGCGGATGTGCACGCTCGTTTACGGCGAGCACGCACACGTCGTCGGTGTTTCTGCTGTTGTTCTTGTTCCTGCTGCAGTTTTTTTAAACTTTCTCAGCGAGTTCCTGCCGCGTTTCTGTTCTTCTTTCTGTTTTTTTGGTTTGTCTGGGTGGAGGATCTCTGTTTTTTGGGGACCCTGAAATCATTCAAACAAGATGGATCTCGCTCATGGTTGTCTTGTTTGTGTGCGTCTTTTTTTTTCGTGTGTGTGTGCGTGTGTGTAGGTGTGTGTGTGTGTGTGTGTGTGTTACCCCCATGGTGCTGTATATACACCCCGACTGTATATACGACGCATACACCTCACATCGACACCCGTTATGTTATTAACCCAGTCAGACGAAGGGGCTTCTCCTGGTGGTAAGAACCGGTTTCTGCACTGATGACTGTTTGCTTTAGGAGGTTTTTATTAACACACACACACACACACACACACACACACTCTGGCATAAACACACACACGTCTTTCGCAGCAGTGAGGTGAAATGTGGAGTTGTGCTCGCAGATGGTGTTTTATAGCCTTTGCTTCGCCATCATTTAGGTGCCGGCATGTAGTCGTTAATTATGCTTAAGTACGAGCCCGTATGCTAATGCCAGGGAGAGGATTAACAATGAGGAGCCTGCAGGGGTCCTGAAATACACCGAATGTATGGACGGAGCTTTAATGTGGAGCTTAAAGTTGGACGGATTCGATCATTTGACACCAAAGCTGGAGCCTGACTGATATGAAGAGACGCATTTTTGTTGATATCTTCAGTAACAGCTGATTATATCTGAACATGTTCAACCCTCTGAACATCAAACTCTGCCCAAAGTTGACATTTTCTTTAAAAATCACCAAAGTT